TGTTTGGTTTCCTCAAGGGTGATGGTCTCACATGCACTACGCTCTTGTGGGTAGTGCATGTGAGACCTGACAGCGACCTCAGAGTGAGGATAATAACACAAGACAGGGGTGAGGAAAAGGAGCTAGTGTCTGTGTGAGGAAGCTTCAGCTGTGAGACGCTGTGTGTGTGTGTGGGGGGGGGTGTGTGTGTCCTCTCACCATCATGGCTCATTGAAAAAGGGAGTCAGGCGCCAATGAGAATTGAACTCACGACCCCTGGTTTACAAGACCAGTGCTCTAACCACTGAGCTATGAGGCCCTGCCTGCTGTGTCCTCGGACGCATACGACTTTATGTTTAATACACAAAGGAGGACGCGCCCTGTTTACATACCTGCTGTTTGCCCAACCAGTCGACTGCTGAGTCAGATCAATGAATGAAGGCCGTTCTCAGGTGAGTCATCAGCTGATGACTGAGTGAGGAAGCTGGAAGACGAGTGATCTCCACATGTCTCATTATCAATCAGGCTCTAAAGACGGGTGTCCTCCTGTCTGTCCTCATCTCTTCTGCCGTTGGGTCCTTTGTTCCTGATCCGAATTCTCTTTGGGTTTATCTCTGGTCACACCAGCTGTGTGTGTGTGTGTGTGTGTGTGTGTGTGTGTGTGTGTCTCATTGTATTATCCCAGTTGTTTCTTGCAGAACAGCCACGTTAAATGCGGAGTACAAAGTTACTCCTAAAGACATATTCTTCAATATCTAAAGACCCTGAACTTCACGACACCTCAGACCTCACGCTGCTCCTCTTCATCCATAGAGAGTATTCTCATATCTCACCAGTGCCATCACACATTTTCTCATGGACTGGTTGGATTGGGGTCAAAGGTCAGCGACCTTGTGACCTCATGTGCAACATTTCAGGTAACAAGGATGTCCACTCCTGGATGAACTGATTAGGACATCAGATTAGAAGATACGGGGATTAAAACCCTGTAAGAGGAATAGTGATGGAGAGAATCAGCATCTCAGATGAAGGCTTCTCACACGGAGCAGGATGAGACCAGTCGAGTCTCCTTCTCTGTTTAGAAGGACGGACGGATCGTGTGTATGGAATAAGGAGGGACGATGTTCAGCTGTGTTAAAACTGACAACTCTCTCCAGTAGTGGTTACTATGGCAACCGAGAGAGAGATTTTAAATCTGAGCCTCTTAACTGAGAAATGACACGACAGCTAAATCTTCTCTCTTCATATTTCACTTCCAAAGTTTCTCTGCAGAAATGTAAATGTGTTTATCAGTCTTCCTGCACAGAGTGAGGCAGAAGGCACGTTGGTAAGCCGTGATGTAGAAGGAACACAGGAGAGCTGACTATATTTAGGCCTCATTCAGTTCTCATTTGTAGACTCGTATTTGTGAAATTAGCACAAACAAAAAAAAAACGAGTGAAGCCAATGCTGAAATACCATAAAGCTGCATTCTCAGTAGTGACCAGCAGGGTGCGACTCCTCTGGTCCCATAGCCGTCTATGATAAAATGACTCCACTTCTCTCTTGATTTATTCCCTCAGTAAACATTGTAAACATGAGTTTATGGTCTCAGTCTCTAGTTTCAAGTCTTCTTCAACACAGCATGATGTTCATTTAGTGAATTATGGTCCATTTAGAGTCAAACAGACCATGAAGCAGAGGACGCTTTAGGGCGGGGCTAAACGCTGATTGACAGGTCTCTACAGCTGTCATTTGTTTACTCCGTTGGTAACTTGGTAACTTTCGTTGGTTCCAATGGATGAAAAGGAGGAAAGGAGATCAGGAAGAGAGGAATGAGGAGGTCAAAGGTCAAGAGGTGCACATAATCCCTCCCTATCTCCTCGTGTTCCAGAGGTCAAACAGACCTCCTGAGCGTGTGTCATCATCTCAGGTTGCTGATGGAACCCGGCAGGAGGAGCATCGGCCTTGAGGGAGTCCCTCTGAATCTAATCGGGTCTGACTCGGGCGGGAACAAACAAACAAACAAACACCTGCTTTCTCTCTGGGGTTCTGTCCTCAAAGGTACTTTTTCTTGAGTTTGTCTTAACCGCCGACCAGCTACCTGACCAACGGGCTGACGTCTCTGGAGCGCTTCCCCATCAGCTTTAAGACGCAGTTCTCGGGCCACTGCTTCCACCACGTGGTGCTCGGCGTGCACTGCAACGGGCGCTACGGCACGCTGGGCATGAGCCGCCGCCAGGACCTGATGGACAAGCCGCTGACGCACCGCACGCTGGGCGAGCTGGTGGCCGAGTTCGAGAGCTCCTACAAGATGTACCAGCACACCCTGAAGAAGGTGAGAGACGGGACGGGACGGGACGGGGCGGGACGGGGGGGGCAGAGCCATCAGGGAGCGCCTCGTCTGACCTCTTGCTTCCCCAGGTGAAGATCGGCCTCTACGTGCCCCACGACCCCCACGTGTGCCAGTCCATCGAGTGGAAGCACCTGGTGCTGAACGCCGCCCGGCTCGGCCCTCAGGAGATGAGGAAGGAGCTGGAGAAGCACGGCCGCGACATGAGGATGAAGGTGCACACAAACGCACAACTTTCACAGCTTCATGAAGCGCTCGAGTTGAACCACGAGAACCCGATAAATGGTTTTATTATTATACGGTTGTGTATTTCATTCATATTCATTAATCAGAGACCTTTTTAAAACGTGTATAAAAACACAATCGTGATGAAATGTGACATGAAGAGAAAACGTCTTTCTGCACTTTGTCATGTGACCAGAGATGGAAGCAGTTTCCTCTGTGGCGAAAGTGGAACACAAACTGTCAGCAGTGATTCAGGGCATGAGGGGGAAGGAAGGAGCGTGTGTGTGTGTGTGTGTGTGTGTGTGTGTGTGTGTGTGTGTGTGTGTGTGTGTGTGTGTCGTTGTGTGTGTGTGATGATTGTTCTTTAAATATAAATGTTTTATGAACCGTTTTCTATATGTTTACTTCTTGTTCTCTATTCATAGTTTTACACATTTCTGCGACACAAGCGATGTGTGTGTGTGTGTGTGTGTGTGTGTGTGTGTGTGTGTGTTTGTGTGTGGTTGCATGTGAGATGCCAGTGTTGAATACTGATACACGGACAGGGTTGCAGGTCAGCAGGATATGCAGGTCAGTGAGGTTGCAGCTGTCACACGTGTGTGTGTGTGTGTGTGTGTGTGTGTGTGTGTGTGTGTGTGTGTCCTTTGCTCCTTTAAGGGTTTCAGGTTACTGACTAAAAGTCATTGAATGTCCTCACAAGTACAGACTTATGGCGTGCGAGCCACAGTGACACACTACCACAACAGTATAACGCACACAAACACACACACACACACACACACACACACACACACACACACACACACACACACACACACTCGTATATCAACACCACATGACTAAAACAAGTCGCTGGAGAACATGAGACAAATGTTCTATGCTGATCGATGCTTTTTACAGAAAAACTTTCCATCCATTTTCACCCTGAACTGCTCCCACTAGTCTCCCACTCTGTCTCCCACTCCGTCTCCCACTCCGTCTCCCACTCTGTCTCCCACTCCGTCTCCCACTCCGTCTCCCACTCTGTCTCCCACTCTGTCTCCCACTCTGTCTCCCACTCCGTCTCCCACTCCGTCTCCCACTCTGTCTCCCACTCCGTCTCCCACTCTGTCTCCCACTCTGTCTCTGTCTCCCACTGGCTTCCTAATGATGTCTGACACACACATTCTTTGCAGCTGTCTGTGTGGAGTCTGAATCCTCTCCCCCGCGGTCGGGACACTTTGTTGGTCGTGTTTTCCTGTTTACATCCTCTCGGAATCTAAATAGAGTAATAAAGTCATAAGACTTCTGCTTTTTGTAATTATTTTCTTTTTTTTGTTGCTCTCAGATCCTCAAATCGTCCAGCGCACAGTCACCGATCAAGGAGCGCACCCGGGGGAAGTCCTTATCGCCACGACGTCGACAGAGCAGTCCCCAGCGCCGCCTCCTGCACCGCAGAGACAAATCGTGAGTGTGTGTGTGTGTGTGTGTGTGTGTGTGAAGAACACGGCTAAAGGTCCCGTTGGAATCATCAGGAACACTTTAATTTTCTTACATCTCTACTCGCAATACAATACAACTCTTTGTTGTTTATTAAGAAGTAAAAACGTGAATTAGTTAACGTCACATCGCAAAAGAGACGAGATGGACACAGCATCCTGCGTCTGTCTGTGTGTGTGTGTGTGTGTGTGTGTGTTGTCAGCTGTGTGCTGGGATGTAATACAATCTGACTTGGACGACAGCTGCAGGCCAGTCGCACTGCAGTCGCACACACACACACACACACACACTGCAGCAGGATTAGTCTCCTGGTGTTGCCCTCTGACGAGGCACCGCGACGACCTTTATTATGAGAAGCTTCAGCAGGATCTCTCGTCTGATTATTCAGAAATGTGTGTGTGTCTTTACAAACATCAAAGGGATGTTTCTATTTGATCTTTTTCATCCATTTTAAATGAAATAATCTCCTTTAATAAAGCATAACATCAATAAAGACAATAAAGCATAAAATCCCAAATTTAATCCGCAGATGAATCCGTTATGAAATGATGCTTTTATCCAGCTGATCAGTTTGCTACAGCATGAGATCATTTAGAATCTATTATTCAGGATTCCATCACAGACACAAAAACAACAAGTTTTCTAATCTTTAGTCTCTAGTGAACCAGTCGGTGCTCTGACCATCACATGAGATGTGGACACTTCGTATAAATAAATCCCCATTCAAGCAGCACAGGGTGCGGAAAGAGGGGAAAGGAAAGGAAGCAAGGAAGCAGGAACGCTGGACTACAAGGTCTAAGTTAGGGAAAGAAGGGAGGCAGAAAGGAGATGACGTCCGTACAGGAGGGAAGGAGGGAAGGTTGTCTATAGCAAAAAGGTGGAGAGGGAGGGAGTTAGAGGACGAGGAAAGAAGGAGAGGAGGAGGAACAAAACGTCTGAGCCTCTTAACCGAGGAAGGACACGAGAGCGAAATCTCTTTAGAGCTGGAACAAGTTGCACCAATGGAGCCGAAGCGAAAATCAAAGTTTGTTTGTTTTATAAGATCTGAAGCGATTAGTCGATAAGTCGATAGAAGAATGAATCATTTTAATGCAGAAACGGCTGCTTTTCATCTTAAATGCAGACAAAGTTTTTCACCGGTTGAATAAATGATTAATAGACAGTTTGTGCTGGTTCTGTTCTTCCGTGTAACATTCCGGAGGAGGTGGTTTCCATGGTAACGCTGATCCGACCGTCTGTCTCTGTCCGTCAGGCCGGCCTCAGTGGAGAGGAAACCTCCGGAGCTCAGCACCCTCAACGACGGCTACCAGATCCGCATCTGATGGCGTCTTCACCTCCGTCGAGTTGACAACCGCCTTGTGGCCACACACACACACACACACACACACAGCTCCCCCCTCACCTCTACACATCACCACCACGCTCATCTGGCAGTAAGAAATGAAAGGAACCAGATGCAGACGGCGTGGAGAGGAAAGGTCACCATGACAACAAGATGTTAGCTTCCCCCTGCAGATACAGATGTGTATCGGGGGGGTGACCTGTTGTTTAAGGCCAGCTATTGTAATGAGAGAGGAAGAAGGAGAGGAAGGGAAGGGAGCAGGAGAGGAGGTGGGCGAGAGGAAAGGAGGAGTCACTGCAGGAGATCAGTGAGCGAGTTGATTCTCCCTTCGAGGCCTTTGAGGGAATCCCGACAGGAGCGTTTGACCTTCAACCTCTCCGACTCTCACGGGTGTCGAACACGCGGCGTGTTGTTTGTTCACGCCGGCTCCTCCCACCGACCGAGAGTCCACATGTGGACGAGGACGACGTAGCTCCGCTCAACGAGAGGCCTCCGAGGACGTCCTCCCAACGACTGTTAATGAGGACAAGGGACCCATGTGACCTCCCAATGTCCCGTCACTTCTTCTTGATCCCTGAGCCTCTTGTCCTGCGCCGCGAGCAGCGGATCACAAACAAAGCGGCTAAATGAAATCCGGGTCTTCCAGCAGGACGAGAGAAACACGCACGTTTCAGAACGGGAACAATGAACAACCTCGGCCATTAGAATACATCCACAGCCGCCCCTATGCCCCCCCCCCCCCCCCCCCCCCCCCCCCAACACACACGCCACGCAACAACCAGCTCGCCATCTTGTATTAACAAAGAAGATAAAGACGATGAAGAAGGGACAGTTGATACTTTTGATGCTTTTGTTAGTTAGTAAGAAGCACAAAGCTGAGATGCAGAATTCTGCTTCTCACCAGGGGGTCAATGGGGGATCAATGGGGGCCTAAACCCCCCCCCCCCCCCTCCCCCACCACCCCACCCCAAACACGTCTTCTTCTTCACAGTTCATCTGGAAGGTTTGAGTTTGTTGTTTGTGTTCCTCTTTGATTCATTGATTGTATGTTGTTAAGATCACTCGTAGTTGTAGCAGGTGTCTTTTTGTGGCCTTTTGATTGGTTTCCAAAGTGCTGACACCACGTTACTGTTCTATGGCACCGATATGAAGTCACTTCTCAAACCTTCTGCTTTCTGGATGAAGGATGCTCATTAGTTTCCTGTTGCATATCACATTCACAAGAAATCCTAAATTCTCGCAGGACAAAAAACAGTGCGTGTTAATACTTTGTGTTTGAGCACTGAGCTGCTGAGTTAACGGAAAATAAATATATATCATTTAACTCAAACGTCAAACCAAATTAAGATGAAGAACATACGTTCAGCTTCCAGTGCCTCAGCAGCGCGTGATCGGATTGGATGATGAGTCATCACATGATTTGAGTTCGGGCTTTCTTTGTGTTGAGTTGTCCACTTGCGTTAAACTAAAGTTATTGTCCTCTTGTTTCAATCAACTATTTCCTTCTTCTGTGGTTTTCCTGCTCCAACACTTCCTGTTTCCTGTTTCCCTTTTGTTTATTGCAGGTTTTCTGGAAACATTTAAAAAGCAGACGCATCTGTGCTGACGCTCAGTGAGCACGAGACCAGCATGGCAGTGTGTGTGTGTGTGTGTGTCTGTGTGTGTGTGTGTGTGTGTGTGTGCGTCAAAACCCAAACCACTAGAACAATATTCAGCCGCTGATTCACTGATACACACACACACACACACGCACACACACACACGTGTTGGCGTGTTGAAGGCGTGTGTTCCCCGTGTGACGGCCTGATGTTTTTTTATTCGTGTGGAGGAGACGTGACCCTCGTTAGTATTGATATTATTATTATAGTAACTTTTCCTGCAGCGTTTTTTATCAACATCTGTAGCAGCATGTGTTCTTCTAATAAATGATCTATGTTTTTAACGCGCTTCTCTTCATTACTTTTTCTTCATTGACTCCGGAAGCTTTGATATATTCTAAGACCTTTTTAAAGTATTGGACCTTTGTTTGGGCAGATACTTGATTTTGTGCACCATAAAGATTGACAGGTCCGTTATTATACAACTCCTCACAAATTAATTAAAAAACAAATATTGACTGAAAACCTCAAATATTGGTAGATTAAAACATTTTTTTTTTTTTAATAATCAGAGGAAATACCTACGAGTGAATGTTGTTTTCAAAAACGTGATGTAAAGATTTGATCTCGTACACGTCCGTGAACATTGAGAGAAGGAACGAAAAGAATGAAGTTCTTCCTCCTGTGATTCAAGCTCATATTGACTCAGAGCGCTCTGCAGCCTGATGGATTAATCTCCTGTGTGTGTGTGTGTGTGTGTGTGTGAGTGTGTGTGTTATAGACGAACACATGGAGGCAGCAGATTTACAGAAATAATCCCTCATTTCTGATTTATGCAGCACTTTAGGGATTGGAAGGCAGGAGTCTCACCTCGCTGTGTGTGTGTGTGTGTGTGTGTGTGTGTGTGTGTGTCCTAGCTGTCAAGGTGAGACGCCAAAAAGCCAGTAAAATATTTTTGAAACATAAAAAATGATGCTGTGTAAAATGTGAATCATTTATGACTCGTATGCGGTATTTAATTTGATTATATATTTAACATATTTTAACATTTAGGCCTTTTTCCAACGTATTATGATTTTTCAACATTATAAACTAAAGTAACAGATGATCAGTCATCAATTCAAACATAGAAGCCATTTATTTCGCCATTTTATAAGTGAAATGAAACGCTGACGTCAACATGAAAAAACACGTTTATTTAAAACTGTAAACGTAAAATCTCTTCCACAAATAATATTAAAAAATTCATCCACTGCCTGTGAAGTGATTATGCATTTAGTCTGAAATTAAAACCCAATGTCCATAAAATTCTAAATATAAAACAGGTTTTATTTTATCAGCACTTTGTCTTCAATGTAGATGTAGAAGCTTTAAAATATACATTTAAAAATCTCTTCTGATATTCACATCTCGTCAGAAAACCGCTTCATACACAAGTGGAAGAGTAAAAGCTTTTTAGAACAGTGATTCTCAACTGGTGGGTCGTGACTAGTGGGTTTTTAGTGGGTCGCGGGCCTTTTCCTGGGAAAATGAAAATTAGAATTAACAGCTGGCTCTTTTGTTTTTTCATTAAACTTGTTTTTGTGTTGGCAAACGTATTCTGTCTCCATACTATCAGGTTCAAACTGCACGATATTTTCATTAAATTCATTTGAGATGTTGAGAATGTTCCTGGATTTGGGTCGCGGCTTGTCATTACGGGGCGATGGTGGGTCCCGGAGCCAGACCAGTTGAGAACCGCTGGTTTAGAACATTAAATCTTCAGGGGGGGCACACAGCTTCCGTGAGCCACAACTTAAACTTTCATTAGTTTTACTTCAGTCCACATCTTCCCTGAGCTGCATCGCAAAGGAAGCTGTTCTGATTGGCCGTCCAACAAGACCCCCCCCCCCCGCGCGTCCCCCCAGGCTTCAGCACCAGAAGCGGAAGCTGGCGAGGAGAGGGAGGTGATCCGACGAGTGACACCGATTGGGCAACCCTTTGACTTCCACCACCTCCGACTTGCCCACCAATGACAGCCTTCCCAGCAGCTCGAGGGCCCGCCCACCCGACAGCGAAGGAGGCACAGTGGATTCTTCTAAGGAGGAGGAGGAGGAGGAGGAGGAGACCAGAGAGGTAGCGAAGAAAGAGAGAGAAGAGAGAGATTGTGAAGATGAATAAGATTAATAATCATCATCTACGATACTTATTGTGTTTGTGTGTGTGTGTGTGTGCGCGTGCGTCTCTCAGTACCGGGGGTGTACAGGATGTAATCCACAGTGGAGGCGGTGCGGGAGTGAAAGGTGGTGATCTCAGGTCGCCCGTCGGGCGCCAGGCGGTGCTGGTAGGACGAGCGCAGCTTCAGACCGTGCTCGATACTCGCTCTGTGTCTGGACGCACACACACACATTTTTGGGGGCAACTCCTTAGAAGAGACTTTTCATTTGGGAGAGGAATGAATGGTGGGAGGAGGGGTGAGGGGGGGAGGGTACCTGTCAGCAGCAGCAGCAGCTTTGGTGGCGGCGTCCTGTACGCTCAGATCAGAGATGACTCCTTCTACTGCCGAGAGACACACACGTCAGAGACCGGCGCCGGCTAGCTGCTCCCCCCGTTCTCAGTCTTTGTGCTAAGCTAAGCTAACATCTCTATGTGGGCAGAAGGTCCATTAAATGTGAAGAAACATCTTAACTTGAGCTCAGACCAAATCAAAGCACTGAACAGAGCTCCGCCCCTCCAGCAGCGGCTCTATAACGGGGGTGGAGCTTTAAAGCCCGGAGCACCTGTCGCGCTGCCGGAGGAAGACTCCGCCCCCGGGACGTCCTCGTACCGACACTGGCGGTTGATCCCCAAGCTGCGAGACCAGAGCGGAGACTCGAGGACACGCCGCCCTCTGGGTGTGTCTTTCTGACCCGACACCTGCACACACACACGCGTTAGTAACTGACCCCCGTTGACCCCTCTGAGTCCCCCCCCCCCATGCGGCTCCCTCACCATGCTGCGCTGGAGGCCTCGGTAATCCAGGCGGCCCGTCGTCAGGAAGCCGTACAGCGGGCTGCGCGGCGTGGAGTTGAAGTCCCCGCACAGCACGACCGGATTGGCCGACCCGTCCGGGAGGCGGGACAGCCGTCCGATCTCGGCCAACAGGATGGCCAGCTGGGCCAGCTTGATGTCGCCGCGGTTGGGGTTGTACAGCAGGTGTGTGTTGGCCACGCAGAGGAAGGCCGTGGGATCCGCCCCCCGCCGCTCGGCCCCGTTGGGCCGCAGCAGCAGAACCAGCCCAACGTTGTCCCGGTCGAGGAGGGCGTCGCCGGGGCGGAAGAACTCCACGGGATTGGAGGAGAGGAGCGAGAGGCGGGACGCTTTGAAGATGACGGCGCAACCGTCGGGTTTATTTCCTGTTCGCTTCTTGTACTCACACTGGTAACCTGAGACACACACACACACACACACACACACACATTTATTAATACACCAATTAATAATAAAAAACAAAAATACTCAAATAGGAAATACAACCCTAACAAAAGAGGGCGCACAATAACATTAATGAACAAATATTAAAAAGAGCAATGGTAAGAAACATGAAGAGGAAACACACACGGACATTTTTATACAGGAACAAATAATAAAACACAAAGTGTATCATTTCATACCGACCGAGTGCCTGTAGAGCCGGTTTGATCTGGTTCTCGTAGTGGTCCTCCTGGACCTCCTGAAGACAGAGGATCTAAAAAAAATTTAAAAAAACTTCCGTCAAATCTTAAATCTTGATCATCAGGACGTAAGAGAATTTATTTATTTTAATGGTCAAAAGCATCTCACTTTGTGACGTTTTACATTCATTTTTAATTTGTATTTATTTATTTTACTTTTTACTGTCTGACATATATTTCTGGTTTTGAATGTATCAGTCAGAAGTTTGTACACATTGTGTCTTTCTATGACAGTGTGTCCAAACTCAGGCGTTTCTCACGTCGGCGTCGTGCTGCCGCATCTCGTCCAGCAGGTTGGACAGCCGCCGGTCCCAGGCCAGCAGGCCGGGGGGACAGTGCTGGTACAGGTAGACGTTGTCCTGCAGCAGCTGCTGAGACAGGATGTTGTAGGACATCACCGAGAAGTCGAAGGCTGCGTCGCCCCCCGGGGGTCGGGTGTCGCTGGTGCGGCCGGGCGAGGCCTCCCAGTGTCTCTGCAGAGCTGAGGAGAGGACGGAGGACACCTCAGAGGACTTCACCTCAGGCAGAGAAAACTAAAACTATCTGATGATGCATCGAATCCTCCAACAAGGATTTGACTCATCAGACAGAAGACGACGACGGTCAACATGTAAGAAAAGAAATGTCAGACTTTCTGTCCAATCGGCGTGAGCGAGCTAAACGCAGCGACGCCTCTTCACTTACATTTCACGCCGTCCTGCTGTCTTGAGCTCGTGGGCTGTGACTCTTTCTGTCCTCTCGGGGGACTCTTGTCCCTCCTCCTGTTCTGGGTTTCGTCTCGCTGTCTGTTCTTCGTTTTTGCGTCTTCATCTTCGCAGTTTTTCCGACTCTTCCCTCGACTCCCATCTTTGAGGCGGAGCTTCGGTCGGTGCTCCCTCTCGGATCCTTCGTCCTCGGTCTGGCCTGTCGTCCCCCCCCCTGGTCCTCCACCTTGATTATTTCCTTCAGCGCGCCGCCTCCTTTTGTGAGGAGGCTCTGTGTCTCTGTGGGCGTGCTCCATCGTCATGCCAACGGCGGAGGAGAGCGAACGCCGACTTCCGCCAAAGTCCCCCGGGTTGACGCGGCGAGGGGCTAGCATCCTAGCGGAGGAGAACCGATGGTCTGCCGGGTGGAGGCGGGGGAGTCCAGGAGGCGGGGGGGGGAATCCCCGCGTCGACCAGCATGGACGAGGAGCGGGGATGAAATGGGGGACGTGGGAAGAGGACGGGCCGCTGCTTCTGAAGCCTGGCCGGCAGAGAGCGAGGCCGCCGCGGGGAGGGACGGGGGGGCGGCCGCGAGGGGGAAAGTGGGGACGGCAGCGAGGGGGGAAGGGGGGGCGGAAGGAGCTCAGCTGGCGCAGGATCATGGGGTGGCTGAAAGGAGGAGAAAACAGTCAGCTTTTAGAGATGCATTGAGATCTTTGGGAGATTCATTTTTCTAAGAGACGAGGGAGAAGACGGCGGCTGAAGACGGCGTCAAACAAAGGTTGACTGGGACCAACTTATTTAGGAGTCAGAACATTTTTTGGGGCAGGTGATTGTGATTCATGACATTTTATAGAGCAACTAGATCACTGCTGTCCTGCTCCTAAATGGTGGAACGAGCTCTCTGATGACATCCGGACCACAGAGAACCTTCACATCTTAAGACTCTAATTGTACTTATAGTGGCTCTTATCTATAGCAAGTTGTAAATCGGCTTATTTGATTTTCTTGTTCTTTCGAGTTTGTATCCTTATGGTTCAAATGCACTTGTTGTGATTATGATCTACAGACTAATGAATATTGCAATAATCAGAGAGGTGAATCGCTAAAGTAAACTTTAACTTTAAGATTGAAGCAGAGTTCATTTAAAAGAGACATATTAAGAAAATTCCACTTGTTTAGTGCCTCTACAGGTTAATGTGGGCATCTGGCAGGTCTGCCGACCCCAAAATCAACTCCTCACGTCTTCAGAGACGTGATGCGCGAGTGACTGAGAATCAGCTTCCTTATCATCCTCTCATCACTGTGAAATGAGACTCTCTCTCATAGATACATCTATGGTGTCTCTTAAATGGTTCTGTTTTTATAATATGTCAGTAATGTCCAGTTGGTTGACTAATCCATTAGCTACAGCCTTAGTAAATAAAAACAATGGTGACATAACTTATGGTATGAAAATTGGAATTCCACTAATGAAATTCTAACCAAATAAATCCCTGATAAAAAGTTTAACTGTTACGTAAAGTGTGTTGTGATTTGAATACTGCCCATTAAAGTCATTATTTGGTTTCGTAGCTCACGTTCACTTACTTCTCTCCGGAGGTGGAATAAACATCGTTGATGTTTCGGTTTGAATGCATCTACAAAAATGCTTTAAAGCGAATATTATCGAGGTTTTGATGTCTCTGTTGTTGTGGGACTGAATTGAAAACCACCGGCCATAGCGGACCGCGAGTCGCAAAATAACTACGTCACCGAAAGTGCACCGAAGGACTTGTGCTGCCTTCACGTACACCGAATGGACTCGGGATTTTCACATTAAATAGTGGAGTAGTGCTGTTCGGACGATTGACGGGTGGAGTAACGCTTTTGTATTGTTTTTTAATCTTAAAAGGACATATACACGTGGACGACTTTGTAGAACTTGAGGACGAAAAAGAAGAAAAGCCAGATACTAACTGTCAAGTAAATTCTAACATTAAATAAATCCAACGGCAATATGTGTTTGATCTTCCACTGAGCTGCCTGCTGCGGTACACACATGCATGCGGCGAAAAACTCAATTATATTATTTATAATATAACTACTTTGTTTTGTTGTTTCGTTCCTTTTTGGAATGTAAGGCTGTACGTGACATTAACGGAAGTAATTCCGACATTTCCGAAAGCGTGCCAACGCAGCATCCGCCTTCTTCCTCTTTCTGGTACTTGTAGTTTCATCATCTCGGTCTCTGACGTCTAATCACAGCGCGATGACAGTGAACGGACTACAGCCGCCTCGGTACGGCGGTAATAGTGTCCCGACCAGAAACGCAGCTCACGACCGCATCGCTGTTTTATTGAGAGAAACCTGACGCGTTCTCACGCAGCAATGGCCAATCATTACGGCATAAACGTGCACAAAAACGACATTTAATTAAACACGAGCATAACTACTTGTTTACACCCCTTTCTTCTATTTGAAGATCAGTTGTCGCGAGAGTAAAGGGTCGCGAGACGCAAAGGGTCATCGTGTTACTTACGTAAAAAACGAGCCTCTTCTCGGAGACAACAGGATGTGAAGACGTCAAATGTCAGCTGCGCGCGTGCGACACGTGCAGCGTCTCCATCATCTGTTCAAACCCGACGGGAAGCTTCCAGGAGGGGAACCGACACAGAGCGGCGGCCTACGAGGAAGGAGAGACAGCGACGCATCCTCCCTCCTTCCCTCTGCGCGCGCGCGCGTGCGTGCGTGCGTGTGTCCAGCTCCCTTCTCTCTCTCTCTCTCTCTCTCTCTCTCTCTCTCTCTCTCTCTCTCTCTCTAAAATATCAAGTTTAAGGGCCTTAGTCCCCTCGAGCCTCCTCTTTAGGGGCCGAAGGATGTCAGACGGACAGAACAGCACTTTTTAAAACAGTTTTTCCATCATAAGGATCATGAACCCTGAGTTTTAATTAGTCCTTTTGCTGTTATTAACATTTCCTGTGTGGGAACTTTAAATAGTAGTAAATAGCGTACTAGTAGAAGTAAAAGGTTGCATTAGTTGCTTACTGGCATTATTACTGCACCTGGGGAATTTGTAGTACTTGTAGTTGAAGTACAGTAGTTATGGTAATACTACGGTAATGAACGTAGAATTATATTTCTACAATTGTGGTGTTTTATTAACATGAAGGTTGTGTGAAACGCCGTTAAGAGACAATCAACAATGAAATCTACATTTGGAAAGATAATATTTGTATATGAAATGTGCTCTGCGTTCACAACAGGGAGATCTGTTATAAAACCTTTATTCAGGAGCCAAACAGGATATCAAAACGATGCAGCGGATGATTTCAAACACAAGAAAGTTGGGACACAATTTGTTGAGAATCCGTCTCCACATTTAAAAATACGCCATTTGAAAAACTGTCTTTTTGGGGGAAATGATCTTTATAGAGACAAAGTGTTCTCGTTTGAAGCAGGAGGTCGTTTCAAAGGTCACAGATGAGATTACTGTCCCCGTAGTGAGCGACCGGCGGTACATCTTCTACTCTTTTTTTGGTACAAAGCTGTCGGCCTTTTGCTTTCTTTGCCTTCATCCTGTTTCTGTTCCGGTCGGCTGCTTCCTCCTAATCAGCGGATTCACCTTCACTTCCTGGTTTCACCCTCTGGATGCTGCAGGAAAGACGATGATGCTTATTCTGTCTTGAAA